TTTAAATGTAAATCTGCATTGTCTTAAGTCAAGTATGAATCATTCAAAAATCAAAAACAAAGTATTCGATTTGTACAAGGTTTGATTGTGCCCCCTAACCTAAAATGTCCTCGTCCGCACCTGAATGCAGAAATCAGTGATGATGGAGTTAGCAATGTTAACATAGGGACGGAGACTCAAATCAAGGCAATTATTTAGATGGCAATGTGGGGAAAACATGTCCAACGGAATGAAAAATAGGGGGAGGAAAAAGCTTTGATAAGAATGAAGGAGATTACATGGAGTTGGGTGTCCGTATATATTGCCTTTAATTTATAGAATATTATAGATATACAAGAAAAGAAGTATGTTTTACAATCAAATTAAATCCCTGGTTATATGTAAGTTATAGATGGAAACTACTAATTAATTTAAATAGTAAATAAATCTCTAATACCCTTCGCTCCCCCCCTCCCCACCACACACACACACACACACACAAAATTGATACTGGTGAGTCCACAAAAATGAGAAAATTATGATAGAGGCGAGTCAAGAATTTGGTGAAGATATCTACGGCCTGTTGAGTAGTGGAAACATGGAGTGATGACCTTGAAATAATAAGGTCTTGCATATAACAACAATCCACTTCAATATTTTTGGTGCAGTCATGGTACACAAGATTTTGCCGCAATCTGAATAGCACTATTGTTGTCACCATAGAGAGGCGTATGTTGTAATTGGGAAACACTGAGTTTTGCTAAAAGACCATGCAGCCACACAATCTCATAACATACATCTGACATAGCGCGGTATTCAACTTCAGTGGATTTAGAAACACAATCTTGTTTCTTACATTTCAAAAAAATAATAGCATCACCTAAAAAGATACACCGCCCAGTAATAGATCAACGAGAATCAAGGAAACCAGCCCAATTAGCATAACTATAATTGGTGAGCTCAAGAGACATCTTGTAACAACCCAAGCATTGCGTCTAGTCATTCTCTTACGTTTTGTCCAGTTTAGGAGGGAATTATCCTTCCTCTTACTCTTCACGGCTTTCTGTCTCGTTTCCCAAGATTGAAACTCAAACCTTATGAGATATTTAAGTTGAATTTTAGTACGAACTTGGCAAGTTCTCAAATCTCAACTTCATAGTTTGCATTTCAATACTCCCATTTAAAAAAAAAAAAAATACAAAATACAAAAAAATCAAGGTTTTACATAAGCAACACATCGTTAATGAAAATTATTAATCAAGATTATTTACTCTTTATTGATGTGAAGTCAATACAACAATTTTCCTGGGCAGATTTAGTATAATAATATTGATACACTTTTGGATGAAATAAGATAATTTTCAACCAAAAAGATGAAAGCACATTACCTTCAAGTGCAAGATTCTCGTATCAAGAGTTGAACTGGAAAGTTACAAATTTCATCAACCGGGTCTTCAACGATCTTGACTTTGCTGTGATTAAGAGTGTTCGATATTAATCTCTCTTGTTTAATGCTCCATTCTTTAGCAAAATGATTTAGATCTGGTTGTGTTACACATTGGTTAGATATGTTGTACTTAAAAAACTTCTTTTGAAAGCTATTACTTCGAGATTTGTGCACCAACTTCGTATGCGAGAAAATTTTTGATGACACGAAAAAAAAAAAAAAAAGAAAAAAGAAAAAAAGGAATTTGGCATTTTTTTCCAAAAAAAGAGAGTTTTGGTAATTGAAACTCTTAAAATGTCTAGTTCTGTAAAAAACTTCCAAAATTAGCTAGATCTCATGACCACCACCTAGAAATTAGCTAGAAGAAAACTGTCTATGGTTATCAATTATCAATCCACAATTGTTCAATTATCTCTCTACTATTCTTCAAAAATTTTCGTTCAGCTGAATCCATATGTAGGGAACTTTACTCCAATATCGATTCTCTTCATCTCTCTTTTCGGAAAAAAACAATTCTATGGTTGAAATTCGAATGTTTGACTAATTAAGCCTAGGGTGGAAAGAAATTCGCGAACTTAATTAGGAAATCTGGAGATTAATTTTATTTCTCCCCTCTCTCAATGTAATCGAACCTGACTTGCCACTTCGAATAGATAGTATAATTCACTTGAAGTGCATAATGACCATACTCGTCTACTGCAATGTACGCTTCATAACTAGGTTCACCAGAAAAGATAGAGTAAAATGAAATTTGCAAGGCTGGAAAATATGAAAATGTGGTTTGGTTTGGTTTGGTTTGGTTTGGTTAGTTACGACATTCAGCACTTAAATACTTGGAGCAAGGCAATAATTTATCCTGGTTGGCTATATTCATACCGCATTAAATTGAACAAGAACAAGGACTATCCTCGTGTAATCACACAACTTGTTACTGCAGACAAAAATACCTCAAAAATAAAAATATCTGAATTCAGCATTTACCCCTTGTCATGAGGGACATGTCCTCTTTTTTATATCTCATGATCCAACTTCTTCACCACTCCACCCGCATCAACTATTTAACCTCTCCCTCCCATCTTCCCACTACCCACTACCCACTTTAGTGCAATAAAAAAAAAAAGTAAAATACTTGATAATTTGACAATTGCATTTTCAACCGAGAATGGAAAGTCTTCTGTGCAACGAGGTGTGGTTTATGAGCCCTGCACCAGTCACTGTTCTTGATAAATTACGTGCCAATGATCAGTACCATAATGTAAGGAGAAATTATACAGCTAGTTGTTTCTACTCAACCCAAGAAGATTTTGAGAAAGCTATTAGGATTTTTCTGGATAAGGAAGCCAGTTACTTGCCGAAACCGGGATACGTGAGTCATATTAAGTCCGATAATTCGATTGATCAAGCTAGGTTTAAGAGTGTTTGCTGGCTTCTTAAGGTAATCATTTTTTTCATATATTTTTTCGTGCATGTTGAGTAATATCCTTAATTTTATATCTTTTGTTTTTGTTTTTGTTTTTTGAAGTCTCAAAAGCGGTTGGATCTCTCTTTTGGAACTGTTTTTGGTGCTGTGAGTTACCTGGATCGATTCATTTCAATAATTCAATGCCAAGTAACCCTTTTTTTTTTTTTTTACTTCTTTTCTTAGAATGATTTAATGATATAATGTTAGGGTTCTTACTTAGAGATTTGATTTAAGATAACGTTCGTGTATCTCAAATTTTTCAGGGTTGGAAATATTGGATGTTTGAACTACTTTCCATCGCATGTTTATCAGTCGCCTCCAAATTCAATGAATCAATCACTGCATCGTTGCATGAATTTCAGGTGACTATATATATATATATATATAAACAAGATTTCAACTTTTACGTTCACATTTATAGTACCCATAATAGTGGATCCTCTCTACTAGACATGTCATGTCAACAATTGATTATCCTTAGATAACATGTAATTTAACAAACCTGTCCCATTATTTTTGCAGGTGGAGGGTTTAGAGCATTCCTTCTCATCAAGCCAAATTCAGCTAATGGAATTGACTCTCTTGAAGGCATTAGGATGGAGAATGGATTCACCGACTCCATATTCTTACACAGAATTGTTGATACGCGTCATCAATAACTTAAACAAAACCCTTGTAGATAATCTAACTGCACGCGTCACTCAACTTCTTCTTAATATCCTTTTAGGTACGTTAAACTAACTTACGGCATCATATACATGAAGGCTCTTTAACTTCCATGTAATTGAATTGTCTGCGAATAAAATTGTTCAGATTCTAAATTCCTGGAGTTCCGGCCATGCGTTATTGCTATGTCTGCAATAAGATGCATACTTGAAGATGATCTTGTTCCATCAACATATGATACATCCGTCGATCATTTTGACACGTTTATTTCCCAAGATCAAAGGGTAAAAAATAAACTATCCCTCTTAATTTCTGCTGTTCTTTTTCTTTATTATTTTTTCAGCAAGATATACGATATGACGAGGTTAATGTTCTTGTTCTAGGAAGAAGTAATAAAATGCCAAAGCTGGATGGAGAAAGAATTAATGACAGATAACAGCAATAAATTAGAGTCCCAGAATGCAAATTACAGTGCCCCTACAAGTCCAGTAACAGTACTAAAGGTGGAGATAAATTGCTCGAATCATAAAGACTACAAAGAGAAATTTTCTAATAAAATATTTTTTATGCCAGGATTAGTGTAATGTCCCAATTTAACACCAATTCAAGTAAAACGATATCTAACTTGAGATTTTCACCCAATTGCATCCTACTGACCTCAGACAGTCGACACAAGATTTTGATTTTACATATGAAATTCCTATTTATCTCAACATTTTCATACAACATTGCAATCCTCCCAAACTATTCTAAATTTGGTCCAATGATGTAAAATTTAGTGATTTTTGGTTTAACATCTATGATCCACTATTTAAACATATTCCATTATGAAATCAACTCATTCCTATATAATGCTTGACTTAATTCATGTACTCCATATATATATCAAAATTTCACATGGAAAAATAAAAATTAATTTAAGCATGCAACTTATTCACCATTCATAGATCAATTCACGATTCAATATATTCGGCATTGCTAGCTATACCAATTAACTCACACAGGCACCTAGAAAGAAAATATTTTTATTATATTTTTTTTACTTTAAATTTTTTTTTACTCAATCAATAAAAGTACAAAAAAAAAACGCGCACACACACACACACACAAAAAAATAATAATAAATAAATAAATAAATATGAAAACTCATGCTTTCAACCCCCAAACTTAAACTAGACATTATCCTCAATATCTTTAATCCTAAATCCGCATATAAAGGGATGAGAAATAAAGTGAAGAAAAGACTTCCCTGATGTAGCCTGTAATTCAATTGCGCTTACTTTCCTATTACTCCCATTGGCTACTTGGTAAATATTGGTTTAAATGTTCCGCAATGTCGTGTTCTGAAAAATCAAATAAAGCATAAAGACCAAATAATTGGAACACGTGTTATTGAACTCTAACATCTAATAAATTAACTAACATATCGAAGACCAAAGAGGAAACGGGGTATGGATGATGAGTCACGTATAAACTTAAAATAAACTAAACTATTCTAAAACTAAAAAATAGAAAAAATAAAAAGGGAAAAAAATTTGGGTTGCCTCTTAAGAAACGCTTATTTAACGTCATTAGTTTGACTTTGTGCCACGATTATTATAGAACTAGTTCAGTTCTTTCTTTAGCCGTGAGAAAATCCTCTACGTAGTGTTTAATACGTTGTCCATTAACCTTGAAATTTTCCTTGTACCTTAAGGAAACACTTGTGATACTGTAAAAAGTCCAGATCATCTTGACTTTAATTTTTCGGGGAACGATTTAAGTCTAGAGTTATACAAGAGC